AGACCGATGTTATTCATTTATTTGGTTAGCGAAGTAATTATGTCACAGTCTTGTTCGAGACAAAGAAAGAGGAGAAAAGAAGTAGTACTGATAAACGATTGTCTGCGACGTCGGACGCAATAGCGGGATAAATTAAATGCTGGAAATTCACGTCAGGTCTCGTGTTCTTCTCGTCGTTCAGGTTTCGTTCGCCCTGGGGCGATGAACCTCTTCGTTCAACAAACAGAAAGAGCGGATAGCCATTTGGACGGTTTCGCTTCGCGTCTTTTTATGATACGACGGAAAAACATTGGTGAATGCGGTTTGCCTTTGTTCGTTTCCTACCTTTGCCATCGCATAATTGTTGGTAATACAGTTTTACGATTTTGCCTAGCTGTGTCTCGGAATTTTCGGTAATACAGCCTGTCGTTCTCCATCGTGAAATCCCAGTTAGAACGGGAGTTAACGAGGACGCGCGCATTCGATTATGCGCGTCGTTCCACCGAGCCACATAGAAAAAAAACAACAGCGGCAAACAGCACGGCAGTTCCACCAAAGACAGTTGTTGAGTTCGTTCCATATGCATTGCGCGATAATCTTTGCGAATAGAGATTTTCTCCAGTTCTTTCTATATATTTTTGTTAAAGCAAAGAAAATACTTTGCTAAGTAAACCAAATAAAAATAATATTCTTTTGAAAATGTTTATGGTTTCTACAAAAACTTTAAAAGCACAATAGGTATAATAAAAATTTTAATCTTTGTTTATGTTTACGTAAAGAATATTTACACTTATGTTCTAAAAATACTTATTAATTTATATTTATATGAAATTATTGAATATTTAGAATCTCAAAGGAATTAAGAATTTAGTAAAATCTTTACTTAAATTTACAGTTAATATATTTAAAATTGTATGTAAAATAGTTTTATGAAATTAGTATCAGTAAACAAATGTATTCATAATAAGATAATACATATTATACACGGAAAGAATTTTTTTAAATTTACTCTGAAAATATAATAGTTCTGATACAATATAATATTTTAAAGATTTTTACTATGCACTTCAATAAAATTAATCAAAACTTTTATATTTTATTGTAGCTTTACTAATGAATGAAAGAAATTTACATTCTTCGAAATACATGTTATCCCACGACTATCATATTTTCAGGGTAAACTCTAAGAAAAAATTCTCTCTGTGTACATACTATGTTTATATTACATATTAATTTGGGATTTTTAAGGAGGATTTTTGGGAATTATAAGGATAATTTTTCCAGGAATAAAAATATGGTAA